ATGGGCTACCACTTTACGAACGTGCTGTGTGCCTCTCTCCTAAGCTCCTAGCAATAGCACAAACACAATCACCACCACTACTCACACTCATGGAGCAATTAGTATGCGTCAGGCCCTAGTATAAGCATCCGATGCTCATTATCCCATTTAATCCTCTTAGTACTTTTAAGAGATGGATAATGTTATTATCGCCTCTTTAGAGATGAAGCTAAGAGAGCTCAGTACTGACAAAGCTGGGATTCTAGCCCAGAGAGCATGGCGCCACGGCCCAAACTTTTAACTCCTATGACAAGCAGTTTGTGGTCAAACTTGAGTGTGCGTCAGAATCACCCGGAAGGCTTGTTGAAACTCTAATGGCTGGGCCCCAAGCCCAGAGGGTCTGATTCAATAGATCTGGATGTGGGGTGGCAGGGCTGAGAATCTGCATTTCCAGCAAATGACAGGTGATGCTGAGGCTGCTGGACCAAGGACTACCAGTATTCCGGTTGCCATTGAGTTGATTCCAACTCATGTGGTGACCCCCTGTGTGTCAGAGTAGAACTGTGCTCCATAGGGTTTTCAATGGCTGAGTTTTTTAGAATTAGATCACCAGGCTGTTCTTCCAAGGTGCCTCTGGGTGGACTCGAACTTCCAACCTTTTGGTTAGCTTCCTAGTACATTAACCATTTGCACCACCCAAGTACAGTTTGCCATCTAGTCGACTCCAACTCATGGAGACCCCATGTGTATCAGAGTAGAACTGTGCTCCATAGGGTTTTCAATGGCTGATTTTTTTGGAAATAGCTCACCAGGCCTTTCTTCTGAGGCACCTCTGGTTGGACTCAAACCTCCAACCTTTCATTTGGCAGCTGAGCATGTTAACCATTTGCAACACCCAGGGACGCCAGGTGCAAGGACTAAACACTTGGAGAATCACTGCTCTGTGGATACGCCATCTCTCAAGTGTTACTTTATACTGGAGACAAAACTGAAGGCCAGCCTCCCAGGGACTATTTGTAAGGGGGAGCTGGACATAATAAAACTCTTATACAAAGTCTCATGCTAGTTTCCGAGAATGTATCCAAACTTTTTTTTTTTTTTAGGCTCAAAGAAATGGTTGCACTTAAAATATCAGCTATCTGGGGAAAGGAGGGTTGAGGGTTTGAAGGCTAGTGTGCAGCTATAGATACGTGAATCACATCTGAGTCGCAGGAGGAAGGAGATGAGGTCATGCATGGAACAGGTACAGCCCTATTTTAATGCAGAGATAGTCTGCCTAGCCATGCAAAGGTAATTGTCTTGCTTGTCAATCACTTTGGGACTGCAATATGCTTTTGCAAGACCATAATGCAAATGCATATCTCATTTTCTTAGAAAAGTAATAACAGTGGTTAAATATTTGGATGAATGCAAGCAGGAAATGACTGCACTAGAGCAAATTAGTTTACTTAAAAAAATAAATAAAAGGAAAAGAAGAAAGTATAGGATGCCCCCCAAACTATATAATCTGTGTGTGTAATATAATATGGACCAGCCACAAATATATTCTTGAAACAGTCTATTTAAAACTGCTCTGCCCTGCTGCCCCATTCAACAGGAAAACCAATTAAATTTTTTTAGTGGGTTCAAATCTAGCTGTTTTTGAATGTTTTATCAGGTGGGTCCATGAACTCCCTGATATTTATATAGAATTGTATGTGTGTATGTGTGTGTATGTGTGTGTGTGCATGTACACGACCGTGTTTTTTAGGGAAAAGGCACATTTTTAATCATATTTTTAAAGGCGTCTGTAACATTCCAACCCCCCTTCCCAAAAGAAAAAAAAAAAAGTTTAAGAGCCAATTTCAATAAATGAACTCAGTGGAGAGGCTTTTTTGGTAACATTTTAAAACAGTCTAAGAATCTGAGTAAGAAATCCCACTAAAAACAAATGAAAAGCTAGAGAGAATTTTGGCAAGTATTCTGAGAATGAGTGATGTTGATTTCAGTTCCTTTAAATGCGAACAAGCCCTGGTGGCAAAACGGTTAAGCGCTAGGCTGTGAACAGAAAGGTTGGCGGTTGGAACCCACCCAGCGGCTCCTCGGGAGGAAGACCCAGAGATCTGCTCCCGTAAAGATGACAGCGTAGGGAACACTACGGGGCAGTTCTACTCTGTCACGTGGGGTCACTATGCGTCCAAATCGACCCGACAGCACACAACAACACAACAACGTACTACATGGGAACGTTGTTGAGCCTCAGGCAATACCGGCTGGGGATCAGAAATCAAGACATTGACACCAAGAAGCCTGGTTGACTTGTACCCAGAAAGATACACAGACACAGCCTCAGAAGCTGGCCTCAGAGACTTCATTAGGATCAAACGTGACAACCTTCCCAAAGGATCTACCTGCAGCATTCCTTCTCACACTGACCAACTCTAAAAAAAAATTCTCTCTTAGGATTCTACAACATCTTTCCTTTACCCAAATTAGCCCAGACTCTACTTAAAATAGTTCTCGAGGTAACTCTGGGAAGTTGTACAGACATGTCATGATTAATTCCTTGATGAAATTCAGACTACCTCGCCCCAAGGTACCCAGAGAACCAAGACCAAAATGCTACTGCTGGTGCCCACACCCAATATTCCAAATGAAAAGGGAAGTCTCCGTTTAAGGCATTGGGTTCCGACTTTTTCTTTGGGTACCAACGCACTTCAGGTAGTTTGTAAGCCAGCCAAACTCCTAGGCAACTAGCTGAATTTCCTTCTTTTTGACTGACATTTAGCTCTTATAGATACTTGGGTACGCTGCATCCCCCTGTCCTTCTTGAGAATTCTACCTTGTATCTAAGGATGGTTTTGGCATTCCAGTCAGTATTGTCAATGAAGAGGCACAATCCCCAATCATAACCAACATTTTAGGGGTACATTGCTAGAATGTTAAAATTAAATCACACTTTAAGGCAGTCACAAACACATACTGCTTCACCACGTGGAAATGCCTGATTCTCTCCCTGGTGAACAAGGCATCCGTTGGTTATGCATGGTTATAGCTGGCAAAGAGCACGTCCATTCTAAGTTAGCAAATTTCCATCTTACAGCAGCTGTGTTATTCCGGGAGTTTTATAAATTGTTCAGGTGAGGATACGCCTTATAATTTTGCTTTTTTTTTCTTTTCTGTTCAATATAGTAGTGAGATATTGAGGGTACGCAGACTGAGCTACAATTACCATCTATTGAGATAACAGTGTTCAGACAAACTAACGTGGTATAAATGTGCAATTTTGCATTTATGGCTTATGAATCCTCCTTTAGTAATTACATGAGCCTAGAGGGTAACTCGTTCCCCCTCCCCCCCTTCATAACTCATTATGTGACCTTGGGAGTAACAAATATTTATTTCTGCATTTCTGGATCTATAAAATGGGCTTAATAGGGAGTAACTGGGGATTATGATTGTACTACACTGTCAAAGGTCCCTTCTATCACATGACAAGACACACAATACGTAGGACATGCAGATGCATTTAGGGGGAACGGGGAAAATTCAGGGCCAGTTCCTCCTTGGTTTGTTATTAGCCACTATCTTTTTGGTTAAAAACATCTTGTTGTTGTTTTGTCCACTCAGCAGCTCAGAGGTGGCCCAACTCTAACGGCCACACGAGAAACCCAGTGGGTGTTGTCTTATTTCCTTCCCTTCATCTTCTTTTCCTGATAATTTCACCTAGTTCTGTCTCCTTACATTCTTAACTTTGCTTTACTGTATGCATTTTTAAAATGCCTCAATGGCTCTGCTTTGGAATGGGTGAGATAGGAATAAGTAACAGGAAAAATGTGTTCCCCTTTGTCATCGGTCTAACAGAGAGATGATCTAGGCTAATTTGGGTTTTCTAAAAGATTTATAAGCAACAAAGCTAAAAAAAGAAAGAAGACCATGTCTTTAGCCCCTTCACACTGATCCAAATGCTGCCATATTCTTTCTACCAACCAGAAAGCCGGTCACTGGCCAGAGACATCTCGGACCAGACCACACTGGGTTTCCACAGCTGGGTTTCCTTCACAGGTGGGCTCCTCAAACCCACAGTGCGGGTCTGCCTCACCCTTCAGTGTAGGCTGTCCTGTACATTGGAGGGTGTTGAGCAGTGTTCCTGGCCTCTACTCACTAGATGCCAGTAGCACCTCCCTAGTTGTGACATTTAGAAATATCTCTAAACATTCCAAATGTCCCCTGTGGACACAGTCACCCTGGTAGAGGACCACTGCCTTAGAGGGATGCCCAGGGATGCTGGAAAGTTCTACCGCCATCCCTAACAGCAAAGCAGAGAGAATGGTGTTTCAGGAGTGCAGCTGACCACACCAGTAGTTTTTTTTTGGAAATTCAACAACATGTCTTGATGTCTACTTGGCAATACCAGAGTCCATGCACAGAAGGACCAAGCTGACAACAGGGAACACTTAATATGCTTTTATCCACAGAGGGGAAAGGCAGGCAAAGGCCCCTTGGAAAAAATCCACCTAAACCGAATCTTCATTCCAGTGTCACTGAACACTTGGGTGTTTGGATTTGATGCACACGGTGTCTAATTTTCTCTTCTTAGCAAAAGGCCCATAAACCTTGCAGCACAAGATGTCTTTGGGAAGGGCAGCAATGCCACCCCAGTGATTTTTATGTATGAAAACCTCAATCGCTGGACGAATTCAGGGGGCAAATGTGATCCAACCTCCTTAATAACCAGATGTTTGCAATCATCAGAAATACAACGTTGGCTGTAACCGTTTGTTCTCCAGCATTCAGTCTCAAAGAGAATTTACATAACAACATGTGACATGTGGAATGCTTAAAGGCAGCAACCACGACAGGACAAATTACACTCATTTTTCAATACTCTTTTGCAAAGTGCGGCACGCCAGTCGCGTGGGGGGCTGCATGCTGGGGCGGTCCTGAGAGGGGGTGTCAAGACCAGCATGCACTCGCAAACAGCTCCATGCCTCTGGGAAGGGAGGGCTGCACAGGAGGGCCCACCAGGCTGGTCCACTTACCCGCCATAGGCCGGGATGGGAGGCGGGGGCGCCGCGGCCCGGAAGGTGTTGTACACGGTGCGGCCGCGGCCACGCAGGTGCGCGCCTCGGTAGGCTGCGGCCGCGGTGGCGGCTGGATACGGGAAGCCGGGCACTGTGGCGAGAGGAGAAAGCAGAGGAAGACCGGTCAGATGCACACCTGCCATGGAGGTACCTGCCCCCAGGACCCCTTCTCCTTGCAGGACCGAGGCCAAGGACACCCCCAGCCCCTTTCCCGGAGTCCGAGGTGTAAAAGTGTACAGCCGGGTGGAGGCCAACTTCCCATTTCAGAGAGGATGGTCTCGTTAAAATCGAGGTACCTCTGCCTAAGAGAATATCGTCAATGACAAGTATCTATAAGAATTCTTCTTTGTAAACAATTTTTTGAGTGTGTTTTTTAATTCTAATTTCCATTTTGTAATTGTGCCTTAGATGAAAGTTTATAGCTCAAGTTAATCTCTCATTCAAAAATTTATACAGAAATTGTTTTGTGATATTAGCTGCAATCCCTGCATTGTGTCAGCAAGCTCCCCCTTTCCACCCCGGGTTCCCCGTGTCCATTCGTCCAGTTCCTGTCCCTTCCTGCCTTCTCATTTTGCATTTGGGCAGGAATTACCCATTTGGTCTTGTATATTTGATTTAACTAAGCAGCACGTTCTCACGTGTGTTATTGGTCGTTTCATAGGCGTGTCTAATACTTGGCTGAAAAGTGGGCTTTGGGAGTGGTTTCAGTTCTGAGTGGTTTGGGGGCCACAGTCTTGGCGTTTCCCCCCAGTCTCCTTCACACCATTAAGTCTGGTCTTTTTTTTCACGAATCTGAATTCTGTTCTACATTTTTCTCCTGAAGATTTCTTAATAACAGGAGAAAAAGCTCACTACCAAAGACTTACATTTAAAAATATACAAAAAGTAGATTGTAAAATATATGTGCAATGTATTCTCAATGATGTTATATATGCGTGTGTGTCTGAGTGTACGTGTACGTACATGTGTGTACATATGTGGAGTCCTTGGGTGGTACAGATGGTTGATGCGCTCAGCTGCTAACCGAAAGGTTGGAGGTTTGAGTATATCCAGAGGGGCACTGGAAGAAACATCTGCTGATCTACTTCCTAAAAATTAGCCATTGAAAATTGTATGGAGCACAGTTCCACTCTGACACACACGGGGTCGTCATGAGTTGGAGTTGACTGGATGGCAACTGTTTGTGTGTGTGTGTGTGTGTGTGCATTTATATACATGTATATGTATATGTGGATTTGCATACATGTATATGTGTGCATATATACATACATCACATGTGTCCATATATGTATACACACATATGTCCACATGTAAATAGTTTATATCTCCTGGCTTAACTGTATGAGTGTTAATTTTTTATTCATAGCTTTTCCCTCATCCCATTTTCATTTATTTTCCACGTTTTCCTTTATGTACATATATTGCTCACTGAAAATTTTGATTGAAGTACAATATTCCTACAAAAACGTGCATACATCATAAGCATACAAACCACTCATGTCCCAGCAAACAGATCATTACTAGCACCCAAAGTCCCCTACTCCACTCCTACACCCAATGCCATTGAGTCAATTTCGACTCACAGCGATCCTACAGTACACAGGAGAACTGCCCCATAGGGTTTCTAAGGCTGTAATCTTAGAAACATTGTTCTCCCTCGGAGAAGCTGGTGGGCTCAAACCGCTGTCTTTTTGGCTAGCAGCCGAGCGCTTAACCACTGCGCCACCAGGGCTAAAAGCAAGTACAACAACCCTAATTACAGAGAAATCTGGGAAGTCAACGCTTAAGAAGAGAGTGTGGACAGGGTTTTCTTCTCTGGGGGAAAATTCGCTGAAGAGGACCAGCCTGGTGAGGAGTCCAGGGTAAATGAAGCCTTATGCTCACTTGAGACCCCTGATGATTAACTTAGTTGCCTCTCCAACTGGATAGCAACGGGTCAATGGGTATCTGGGATAAGAAGCCCTGGTGGTGCAGCAGTTAAGCGCTCGGCTGCTATCCAAAAGGTTGGTGGTTCCTACCCTTCCAGCGGCTCCATGGAAGAAAGACCTGGTGATCTGCTCCTGTAAAGATTACAGCCTACAAAACCCTATGGGGCAGTTCTGCTCTGTCATACATGGGGTCACCACGAATTGGAATTGACTTGACGGCACCCAGCACCAACTACCTGGGATGTCCTTCTTCTCGCTATACATCCAAGTATCAACTCACCAAGTCCATGAAGCTTTCACTAAGTCACTTCTGCGTCCAAGGGTGTCTCCCTCCTCGGAATCTCCTAAGGCTGCCACTCTACCACGCTTCCCAGGCTCATCCTGTCCCACTAAGCAGCAGGCAGTGTTCCCGGAACTGCATTTTCTAGGTGCTCTTCTCGGAAGATGCTTTTGGGCAATCAGTGCCCCAGGAGAGGCATATTAATGGTTCAAAAAGTCCTGCAGTAAAGACAGCCCTCTAACCTAGCTCACTCCGTATCCCTAAGCTTAACTCCAAGGAACTCTTTCTTGTGCAGAGCACCTACCCTCTCACAGGGTAGTGGGTTTGAGGACAGGAAAATGAGTCATTTGTTCCATTTCTCTCCTATCCAACTGCAAGCTCCTTGAGGGCTCTTTCTTCTCTGATTCATCTTTGCATCTTCCCATGCCTCCCCAGCTCAGTAGAACACCATGCTTTTATCCACTGTCAGCTCTCCAAATATTTGATACTGGGATGGATGTATGGACGACTTAAATACATGGAAAAGTGGATGCTGGTGTGGGCTGTGGTCAGGTTGAATAATGACAGACTGTTTAAGAAACCTTCTCTCCTTGCCCCATTCTCTTTTCTCACCTTGCATGCCTAACAGGAGCTTGGAGGCTGTCCAGAGAGAGGAGAGAGACACATGAAATGAAATGGGGTGGCGTGGATTCCCCGCACCCTTCACGGCCCTCCCTTGTTCCCTCTGTCCTGGGTTTTAACACAGCGTTTGCATTAAGACTCAGAGGTCCTTGGGTGACGCAAATGGTTTGTGCTTGACTACTAACCTAAAAGGTTGGCAGTTCCAACCCATCCAGAGGCAATGTGGAAGAAAGGCCTGGACATCTGCTTCCATGAAGATTCTCATTAAAAATCTATTGCTCTGAAGTTGATTCCAACTCATATTGACCCTCTAGGACAGGATAGAACCGTCCTAGAGAGTTTCCTAGGCTATAATCTTTACAGAAGCAGACTGCCACATCTCTCTGCCTTGGAGCGGCTGGTGGGTTTGAGGGTTTAACTACTGAGCAACCAGGGCTCCTCCCATGAAGATTACAGCCAAGAAAACCCTATGGAGCAATTTTACTCTGTAACTCACAGGGTTGCCAGGAGTTAGAATCAACTTGACGGCAATCAGTTCGGTTTTTTAATGAGATTCAAGGCTAGGAAGGAGGCAGACGTTTCTTTGGCATGATAAGAAACAGGAGAAATACTAGCAGGAAGTTGATCTTCATATTTTGTTAACGTTTTCTCCATCCTAAATGCTAACTAACTGTCAAGAGGGGCTTTGCCCCCTCCTACCATTGCCTTCATAGGTAGAAGCACTCAAGCCCATCTCATCCCATTATCTGGAGAGTTCTTTCCACTCACACTAAAGCACCAACTCGGATGAGGGCTGTAGGAGGCACAAGAGGCTTAAAAGGACCTTGGAAAGAAAAATAAAAGTAGGTATGAGAGATCCCAGGGAAGCCACTGCTTGCTACCTGGGGGGTGGGGGGTAGGGGTGAACTTGAAGGGGTAAGATTTGCATCCTATACCCATGGTCCCTGGGTGTCACAAATGGCTTGTGCTGGACTGCTAGCCTAAGGTTGCTGGTTTGAACCCATCCATGGTAGAGCAGAAGAAAGGCCTGGCAATCCGCTTCCCTTAAGATTACAGCTGAAATTAACCCCCGAAACTATTGCCCTGTGATAATCTTTAAACCGTACACCAAAAATATCCCCTGAATTCTTCTTTAAACCAAGTAATTTTCGCTTAATTCGTAAAGAATATCTGCCTTGAGCATTGTACTCTTAAGATCTATTTATATGGGGTCAAATGGATGACAGCAACTCAAAAGTTAGACAGTAAACTTAGGGGGCAGTGAGATTACATTGGAGGAACAACTCAGAAAAGGAGGGTGAGAATGGTTGCACAACTTGAAGAATGTAATCAATGCCACTGTAGAAACTGTTGAATTGGTGTAGGTTCTACTGTGGATACTGTCAACAACAACAAAGAGTGCAGCCAAGAAAACCCTACGGAACGGAGCAGTCCTACTCTGTAATACGTGGGGTTGCCAGAGTCAGAATGGGCTAGATGGCAACGGGTTTGGTTTGGTTTCCCTCATGGTCATTGTACATTTGTATGAAATTCAGCACTGGGCTGCTAACTAAAAGGTCAGTGGTTCTAACCCACCAGCTGCTCCACAGGAGAAAGATGTGGCCGTTGGCTTCCATAAAGATGACAGCCTTGGAAACCCTATGGGGTATTTCTACTCTGTCCTACAGGGTCGCTATGAGTCAGAATCGACTCGATGGCAAAGGGTTTGGTTTGGTTTGGCGTGCGGCAGGGGTTGGAAGGGACAGGAGTTTGTGGCATTTCCCACAGAAGCCATTTCTGGTTTTGTGCCACCCTAGGGAGCCCTGGTGGAGCAGTGGTTAAGAGCTCAGCTGCTAACCAAAAGGTTGGCAGTTCAAATCCACCAGCTGCTCCTTGGAAACCCTATGGGGCAGTTTGTACTGTAGGGTCACTATGAGTCAGAATTGACTCGACAGCAGTGGGTTTGGTTTTGATATGGGTATATAATTGTGTGGGCTGGAACAGAACACTTGAACAAGAAGTAAAGACTGATTAGCTATTATCTGGAATTGTGTGTGTGTTCCTGAATGGCGAACAGCGAGCCTGCTTTTTGGTGGATTCTACCATATCTTTCTTTCAGATGAGGGCAAACGCTGAAATTGTAGAGGCGAGCCAGGATGATTGTATCTATTTGTGTCTGAGAAGACCAGAAGGATTATTTGTAACCATTTCTTTTTTAAATGGTTGTTGGAGACAAAGTGTACAGTTTTATTTAACTCTTGGCTTGCCAGCCTCTGGCACCAA